AATGACTGTTTATATACTGGTCCGAACCTATATCCTGATATTTTTGATTTATTGATAAAATTTAGACAAAATTCGATAGCCTTTACAGCGGACATTACACAAGCATTCTTACAGATAGAGTTAAATGAAGAAGACAGGGACGTTACACGATTCTTTTGGAAAGATGATCCCGGTGATAACAATGAAAGTTTGAAAACCTTTAGATTTACAAGAGTTTTGTTTGGAGTAAAATCTAGTCCCTTTCTCCTAGCTGCTACTATTAAGCATCACCTTAAAAAATATTCAGAAATATATCCTGAAACAGTAGAACTCTTAAACAACTACCTGTATGTTGATGACATTATTGCTGGTCACCAAAATTTAGAACAAGCCCTGAAAATAAGTTTTAGAAATTGTGAACATTTTCAACGAAGCTTAGCATGTTCTTTTGAATTTGTATGCCACATAAGTGGCATACTAATTCCAAAGAACTGAATGACATTTGGCGTCGCAAAGAATTTTCGATACAAGAATCTCCTGACGTTGTCCCGATCAAAGTGTTAGGAATTAACTGGGATACGGACAGTGATAATTTTTATTTTGACACTCAACACTTGAACAAATTTCATATCCTCATCAATCAACTCAAAACGTTTTCTATTATAAACCACAGGGGCGTATTTTTGATCCTTGTCGTATTTAATGGCCCTTTCACTCATAAGAATAAAGTGTCTGATTCAGGAAATCTGGTCTGCCAAAATTGATTGGGACGATGAACTGCCACCTGATCTTAGTTATAAATGGAAAGCCTGGTACGAAGAAATTGAAGAACTGAACCACCTCAGAATTCCCCGCTACTATTTAGAAGGAATATTAGATGCAGATGTGAAACAAATACAATCCATAGCTTTTCTGATGCTAGTTTGAAAGCTTATGGATGCGTGGTATATCTAAGAATAGTTTTGAACAATGGAACTTTTCAAACAGTTTTTGTTGCTTCCAAGAGTACAGTTGCTCCTCTGAAATCCCTTACACTTCCTAAATTGGAGCTTTTAGGTGCGCTTTTATCCGCTAGATTGAGTGATAAAATCGCAAAATGTTTAAAATACGAAGTAATCCCCTTCCACTGGACTGATTCTCAAATAACGTATTTTTGGATTTCGGGATCTCCCGAAAAATTTAAATCTTTCATCAAAAACAGAGTTTATGAAATTCAGAAACTAACTGAAAGCAATACTTGGCATTATTGCCGTGGGAAAGATAACCCCTCTGACCTCATATCACGAGGAACTACTGTTGCTAATTTAAGAAATTGTTCACTTTGGTGGTTTGGACCAGAATGGTTGCAAAACAAACGTATAGACTGGCCAGTTCAACCGAAGTTTGACGTGGGAAACGATAAGCAACTAGAACTCCGTAGTAAGATATCTGTTTAGACATTGTTGTAAAAGAGATGATCAACTATTGGATATAACAAAATTCAGTAATGTGCTGAAATATCTCAGAATTATGGCATGGGTTAGACGTTTCGTTGCTAAGGCAAGAAAACTGCCTGCTAATAGTGGAACATTAAGTGCTTTTGAAATTCAGGAAACTGAAATTTTTTGTGTTCGTAAATCCCAGATGGATTTCTTCACACCTGAAATTAAGGCTCTTCAATCTAACAAGTCAATTTCTCCAAGCTCTGATATATTCAGCTTGGCACCGTTTCTTGATGAAAATAAAATTCTCCGAATTAAGGGAAGATTAGAAGAAACCGAATATACAGTTGACGAGAAGCATCCAGTTCTTCTTCCTAAAGATTCCAAATTTACTGAATTAATTGTAAAAAGGGAACATAATAACGTTCTGCATGCAGGAGTTGCAGCAACTTTAGCCAAACTAAGACAGAAATTTTGGATTCCTAAAGGCCGTCAGTTGGTAAAGAAAGTCTTAGGGAACTGTTTAATTTGTCGGAAATACGCAGTAAACCAGCGAAACAATGACAGCTCAGTTACCTAAAGATCGAATTGTTGAAACTCCACCTTTCTATGTTACAGGCGTGGATTTCACAGGTCCAGTTTACATCAGGTCTGGAAACGACATTCAGAAATCATACATCGTATTGTTTACGTGCGCGGTTACACGAGCGTTACATCTAGAACTCATTTCCAATATGTCTGCAAACAAATTCATTTTGGCTCTCAGATGTTTCATTTCGAGAAGAGGAAACTGTCGCACTTTTTATTCAGATAACGCAAAAACTTTCAAATATGCTGTCAAAGATTTACAGTATTTTTACAGCATAATTAAAGGTACAGACGTTCAAAATTTTCTAGCAAATGAAGGCTTGACTTGGAAATTTATCGTCGAGCTAGCTCCATGGTGGGGAGCTTTTTATGAACGCCTTATGAAAACCATAAAGGAACCGTTGAAAAAGATATTAGGCAGAGCTCAAATGAATTTTGAAGAATTTATGACTGTGATGACAAAGGTCGAAAATATTGTGAATAGACGTCCTTTGACCTACGTTTACAATGATTTACATGAACCTGAACCGCTTGCACCGGCTGATTTTCTATTGATCGGACATAAGGATGAATATCCATACAACTTTGCTGAGATCCTGAATAACTCTCCAACAAGAAGAGTCTAATAAAACGAAAAGAATATCAGACAACACTTATAAAACAGTTCTGGAAAAAATGGAAAAATCAGTATCTTCTTGAGTTGAGAAATGCTCACTTCTTCGGTACACCAGAAGCCAAAAAAAATCTTAAAATTGGTGATATAGTTTTACTTGAAGAAACAACTAAATCTAAGTTCCTCTGGGATTTAGGTCGAGTAATTCAAGTCTTCAAAGGACGTGATGGTCTTGTACGATCATGTGTGGTAAAAAGTAAAAAAGGGGACCTTAAGAGACCTGTACAATTGATTTACCCCCTTGAACTACAGACTGAAAATGAACTAAATTTGTAACCTTTTAATTTTACTTCTTGTATTTCATATTCACTAACATTAATTTTAGATAATTAGTTTAGTTATTACTAATAATTTACTGTTTGTAATTTGAATTAATATTTACATATTGAGTAACATTTGAGTTGATGCAGTTAACTATATTTGTTTATTTTATAGAATTTCCTTTGCAGTTTATATTTACATCAGTTGAATGTATTTGATATGTAAGTTGCTTTCTTATATTTTATTATTTGTATGCTGAATAGTGATAATTTTTGCAAAAATTATCAGGTGGGGAGTGTGGAAAAATCCCCCAAATGATTTATGTATCGCCGTTACAGGGCGCTTCGCTTCTGAAAAAGAATGTTAGTTTTTAGTTTGCGACGTAGTTAGTTAGCAGTGAACCTTCGATGCAATCCAAGTTGCTTTGTAAATAAAATGATTATTTTCGTAGATTGTTGAAGTATTTCACTTCATTTAGAATTAGAACCACCTTTCGCATTATATGCGGGTAGTTAAGCTTTTACTGTTAAAGGATGACTGCATGAAGCAAATTTCTGTCTTCTGATTTCAGAAATGTCCTCCTTTTTACTTAAATTACTTTGCTTGCAATATCTGTTAAGAGAAAAGTGATATACGATGAAAATTTAGAAAATGTTCAGAATTTAGATTTAAATTATTTAAATATAAATATGAGTGGAAAAATAAATTGCATTTATTATTAAGTTCCAAGCGAATAGATTAAATATGCCTTATTATTATTTATTTCCTCTATTTTGAACTGAAATTTCATCAATTAATCTTGTAATATAGTTTAGTTGTGCATATTTTTTTCCCTCTCATTGTAAACTAGTTCTGTAAATTGAACTGTTATTTAAAATTTTAAAAAAAAGTAATTATTTTCCATAGTTGAGGTTCCATGCTTATTCTCTCTTAATAAATACTGCATTTCTCATATTTTAAATTACAAGTCTAATTTTTGAAGTTATGCAGTTTTGTATAATGTAATTAGACAGGTGCTTATTTTTTTTTCTTAAAATGTGCTTGAAAAGTGCTTATATGTGCTTATTTTTTTAACTAAAATGTGGCTATGAACCCTGATTCCAGTACCGTCTTTTTCCCATGCTTCCTCCAAATTGAGTTTTGACATTTTTTTGCACCCTAATAAGAATAAAATTCCTAAAAAGGCCAACATTTCTGCTCTATTAGTATCATACATACTTCTCTTTGAGATGCTTTGGAGATTATCTGCAGCCCTGTTACATTTGAGATAAATATTTGTATATTGTACGATAGCATCAATCATATTTGTATTTATGATTTTCTGAAAAGCAGAAAGCTCATCATTCATATCGTCACATGTTTTGTCACTTGGGCATATTTTTTTCATCAAATTTTTTCGAGGCGTTCTGGTGAATTTGCTCTTGAGGGGAACTTTATTCCACTTATAAGTTTCCTTTTCTTCTTTCAGAAACTTTCCTCCAACTTTCTTCTTTTTGTAAATTGTTTTTACAAAAATGTCCTCATATTTTAAATCACTCATGTCATTTTCAATATCACTAAAATCGTCATTTGTTGGGGAAACATCATTTGAGGAAGGAAAATAAGGATATTAGAAACATTTCCCTCAATTTCTGAGTCATTTTCATGATCAGAATGTTCGATGACTTCCGATTCATCGACATCAGATGCGTTATCCAAATTGTCGGAGTCTTCATCAACCGAGACTTCTTCTAAATCGCGCAAATAATCTTCAGGAGGTACAATATTCTTTCTGTACATACTTGGAGGAGCGGCGTACTGCATTCACCTACGCGACATGTTCATTACTAAAATTTTTTTTATCGCTATGGAAATTATTTATGGCAGAAATATATGCTCAAGCAGTAAGAATTCCAATCCCTTTTTTACTGTCTAATGATCTTAATTTTGTCTTTCTACTAATTTTTAATCATGATAACTTTTGTAAATGCTAAACCAAAGTTACATTTTCTGATAAGCAAATAACAGCCTTTCTAGAATTTTCAAACAAAACTATACAACTGAAATAAAATAATTTATTTTAAAATATAATTTCTTACCTTAAATAAATATGGTTGAACATCAGTATATGAAGTATCAAAATATAAATCAATATCAGCTTGACTAGGAATTTTTGGAACAAAATCATACTTGTTCATAGCTGAAACTATGTCAAACACTTTTTCTGCTAATACATCACCCATTTTTTCACGGTATACTTGTCTCTCTGTAGTACAAAAAAGAAACAAAAAACATAAGGAACTAAGGTTGCTTATTCCACAAAACCAAACTACTAGAATTATATATATATATACATACCATGTTCATTTGGTAAGCATATAACATTCACTTTCAGAGTCCAGACTTCCCACGGTGAGCACTCCGGTGGAAAAGGCCAGTGTGTTCTTTTTTTCTGATAGAATTCAAGGGAAATCTATGAATAGAAAGCATATTTATCATAACTAAATAAATATTTAGAATCATTTGAATGAAAATTTTTAAGCAATTCACAATAAGTTATAATAATATAATAAAAGAGAAATAAAACTATGTTGTCCACCAGCTGCTGATGCAATAATTTGAGTCATCCAGCACGGGGATTAACTAGCAAATCCCATGACTTAAGGACAATCCAGGAGAATCAGAGAAACTATTATTCTAATTTAACTTATTTTGTAAGTATATTCGCTCCAAATGGTGCAAGCATTTTCATAATCATGCTTGTGTCTCTCACGGTCAAACAATATATTCAAACTATTCATTCATTGCACAGCTTTGACTACACATGTAAATAAAAGGAAAAGTATCGCCTCTCAATTTATCTATTCAGCATTAAAAATTCAGATCATAAAAAGTGTTAATTCTACTCTCAGCAATTAGATAATGAACATAATGTACACATATCTGGGTCGATTAACGAATTCAACTAGCGTTTTTCATGCCTTAAAATATGCATTACATTTATATATATAAATATCAATATGCATGTTTTAAAATATGTATTTTGACACAAAATTGGACTTTTTCTGAAATGATATGCCAATTTTTTTCCCATATTTCGATTCTATGATTCAAATTATGCCTAAATGCCAAATTTTGTATGAAACTTATGGAGAAATTTGAAAATTTGTTTTGCCACACTTTTTTTTTCAGTTTGTGCCAAGAATAATTCACTTAGCAAAATTTTTTAATTTATAGTAACCAATTTCACTTTCCCTTTCATTGTGCACAAACAGGAAAAAGGTGTATAGTTTATTCTTTCAAATATTTTACTTTATATTATATTTTTTAAACATACGTGTTATTGTTAGATAATTTTTTCCTTTTTTGAATTTAAATTAATTGTTTGAGTGGCATGATTGAACTATAAGGGGTGTTCAAATGAAAAAGGTACGAAACGTCGTAACAAGCAATCTGGTTGAAACTTGAATATGCTGGTTGAAATTTGAATTGAATCCAATAGAAATCTGATATTTGTCTCACTATATTATTTGACATAGTGAGACGTCTAGGAACATGAATGTAGTTCCATTGTAGTTATGTGAATGTGCAGGCACCCGCAAGTAATGTAGGAGAGAAGCAGGCAGCTGTGTGTTCTGTCCAGTTGGTATGGCAGTGCGTGTGAGGACATCACAGCATTCATATTAAAAAATTCGATGACTGAGGAGCAGCAAGGTACTATCACGTTTCTGGCCTCTGACAGGGTTAGAGGTGGCCATACACAGGGAAAACTGTATGTCCAACAAGTCAGTGAGAAAATGCAGTGCCTGTTTTCATGAAGGCTGGGTGTATCTGAGAGATGACTTGAGACGTGACCAGGCAAACATGGTTATCACCAGCAAACTCTTCGAAAAGGTGAACAATTTAGTGAGAAGCGATCAGCATGTCACAATGTGAATATTGGCAGTGATGGTGAGGCCAGCGTTGGAACAGTGTGGACAAATAAGCAGACAGGTTAGTTTACTGGAAAGTGTGCGCACAATGGGTTATGAAGAAGGTCAGTGAATCGCAAAAGGTACTGCATACTGTACTAAAACTGTGACACTTGTTCCAATAACATGAAGACCCTACTTTCATAGAACAGATCATCACCGGTGAAAAGAGGTGGTGCTATCACTTCAAGCCAAACTGGAACAGCATGCAATAGGAGCATGCATCATCACCTCCCCCTAAAACATTCAAAGCTGTGCTCTCAGCAAGCAAGGTGATGCTCACCATCTCTTTCGACATCCAAGGTCACTTGTCGAATTCCTTGAGCACAGGAAAACCATTAATGGTGATGTGTGCTGCGAGACACTCCATAGCTTACGCAAGACCATGAAGAGCAAACGGCCTGGCTGCTCACGGTAGGAGTGATTCTGCTCCACAATAACATGCATCCGCACATAAGTTGCATGCATTGCTTCATACAGTTTTATTATTGTGCCTCTGCTTTATACAATTTTATCACCCTTTTTTTAGTTTCTTAAAATATTAGTCATATTTTAGTCAAATATTTTATTTTTTAAATCACAAGAATCAAACAATATAAAGATTTAAAAAATTTTAATTAAAAAAAATAGTAAATTTTAAACATAAAATTATTTTTTCGTTTTAATGCCATGTATTTTTTCAGGTATTCTGCAAATACATTAAAAATCATTCATCTTTTATCTGTTCTCTGTATATCAAAAACATGACACTTCTTGGTATTTCTGACTTCATATAAGTGAAGGTATCACCTTCTATTTCCTCAGTATTTGGTCAGAGTAAAAGAGAGAAGTGACTTGATACTGAACCCCTTTAGGGACTAGGAATGCTGAAGGAATAAGATGAAAGAAAAGACTGGTTCCATCAATATGGAAAACATTTTTAGATGATAACCATACACATCCTTCAATAAATTCTTGGATCTTAAACTAATTCATCTTGATTCTCCATTTATGATATGATATGATGTTCTATGATATTTGATCCACTGCATTACGTGAAAAACATGCTATTCGAGAGTGTGGTTTGTTACAAAATGGAGCACTCACACATCACAGCAACTTACACATCCAATCATATTCAAGTGATTATATATTGTACTTTTAGGAATATTTAGTATGTTAGTTCCTAAACTTTATAGCTTGAATTTTCAGTCATAATTTCTTTCAATAGATTTTTGCAAAAGTTGTTTGTCCAGAAAGGACATCATCTTTGAGGCTAAAATTTCCACTTTTAAACTTCTCAAACCACCTTCAAGCTGTGGACTACGACCAGCACTTTGCCCATATATAGCAGAAATTCTGCATACAGTCTGACTATTTTTTTTTTTTTTAATAAAAGAGCATAATATTCAAAAAATGAACTTGCGGCTCCTCTATTCTCAACAGTGCAATGAAAAAAAAAAAAAAAAAAAATCATGCCACAATGCATGCTATAATTATACAGTATGAATGGAAAAGACCCATTTGCTTCAATCAAGGTCACTCCTAATCAGAAGTAGCATAATAATAATAAGAAAATATCTCAATCTATGCAGAACTTTCTAGCAGACTCAATATTAAAGTTTTAATAAAATTTAATATAAATGTCCTTTTTTAAGTTATAACCAATAATTTCACAATTAGCCATCATATTTCTTAATAAGAAACATTTTGTAATAAAAAAAGCTATTAAGAAAAGTAACTGGTACACAAATGTAAATGAATTTTTTTAAAAAAATTTAAGCAACTTTGCATAATAAATGATATTAAATAAATTTATAGTTTTTTTAAAATTAAAATATTAAAAATTTATTCTGCATAATTATGAATAAATAACTTGGAACATCTAAAGGTATAACGGTAAATGAGTTATTAAACTTTAATGATAGAATGTTTAAAAAAAAAAACTAAAAACGTGCAAGATGTTTATATTGTTGCATTCTCTTCTTATGACATCAGTTGTTACGTTATTTTCTTCCTTCACGTTCGTATGGGGTTTCTGTGGATTTGGAGTGAATAACGATGACACTACTTGATGAAGTATCAAAACACACTTTATTGGCCAGTATTGTCAGGAAAGCTCCAAAACATGTTTTACAGTCATCGATGAACTACTATAACACGCTGACACAATCAGCGACACAGCCTTCAGGTTATCAGTCTATCACGTTGGAGACAGCTTCACTGCAAAGCACCAGAGTACAGCTCCTGACTCTGCTCAGTCGTTCTTGGGACTCCACGTACTCTCAAGACTCTCCACGCTACAACTTGCGATGCACTCGACGACACACAGAGCACGGCTCCCAACTCTTCGATTCAGTCGTTCCCGGAGCTCAACACGCTCTCTCGACAATGCACTAACCACGATATACTAAGAGACTCCTTCGGTGAACTTGACGACCCACTTGGCACTCACTGCCCAACTGTCAACTCGATCAACTCCGCAGGGATTGACTCGCTAGACAAGACACCAACTCGATACTGACTAACTCGCACTCTATGCGAGGCACACACGCTCGTCCTCTCGACAAGGCACACTAACTGACTGCGGACCAGCAGGGTTTATATAGCTTTCGGCTTGTGTTCGAAAACATTCTGGGCTAAACCAGTAAGAATTCGCTCCATAAGGTTCTCCCTCCATCCATCCATGGCATATCGCCAATTTTTGTCGCCAAATGTGGCAATGCTGCCTTCCCTTGCCATTTTATGACAACCTTAAAACTGCTTTGCGGGGAAGCTACCTTACCGCGCCTTAACATTTCGTAACAATATATTTTTATAATCAGAGTTGCTAGATCAATATTTTAAGTCAACGAAAATTTGGCTCTTTACATTGGTTTACATGAGAAAATCAATTTGTCTTTTTGACTCTTTTTCAACCCAAAATTATTTAAATGAATATTATATGCGCTGTTTTATAACCACTCCTGAAATTTTATATTTTCAATAAATTTATTTAATTTTACAAAAAGTGCACAGTATTGGGTTGATTTATTTAATTCTGGCGGAGTGCTCATGGACTATCTGCCTATTGGGAGCCTTCATGAAGGGTTTTTAAGCAAAACTGGCTCATACACACATTACACATGGGAAAAGCAATGAAAACGATCCTGCAGTCAGCCCGTTCACTGGGATTCAAACCCTGGACCACACTACTGGCTGGCGGTTCATGGACTAATCAGGAGGCAATTCTGGATTTCAGATTTTTCAGACAGGTATTAGATCGTCAGTTTAAATCTAATAACATAACATGTAGGAATTTTAAATTACAATACGAATTAGTGGTTTAAAAATAATAAAACATTGAAGACTTTAGAAATATCAAAAATTTACCAAAAAAAAAAATGAATATATGTTTGCTTTATTAAATATTTCATTCAACGCAAGTTGCTTTTTTTTTTTATGTTAGAACTTTTTCTTTACTTCTATATATAAGCATAATTTCTTGTTCAGTTAGAAAGTTACATTCTTAACAGCCCATATT